CCCATGCCAACTTTATTCCTCTTCCTTGCCCTTCCTCCCCTTCCATGAGCCTTCTACGTTCTCTCGCCCGCTAAGCCTTTGCATATTCTGTTCCCTCTGCTTGGAAGATGACTCTGCCTGTTGCAACAGCCTAACTCCGACCATTCCTTTGGTCTCTGCTAGGTGTCTCTTTAGAGAAGTGTTCCCTGAAGCCCCCAACCCAAACAAGGACCCTCCTCTTACCTTTCTGCACGGCACCCACTTTCCTTCACAGCCCCGCTGCGTTCCGAATCAGGCATCTCTGGCTGTAATGATGAGCTTAACGCCCACCTCCCCCACCAGACAGAAGCTTCCATGCAGGCAAGATGTGGTCGGTATTTGTTGAATGAGCAAATGAATGAGGACACTGGGGACAGACCAGGATGCAGGTCCCCGCCATCCTGGCCAAGAGCAGGACCCATGAGGACAGGTGCCCAAGAGAAGAGAGGCTGCCCCCAGGGAGCTGAGAGGAACCCCGCACCCCGGCCCGCCCGGCGACACACGCAGCCTGACCCTGAGCGCTAGAACACTGCAGCTTTATTGATCGAACAACCGCGTCCGCAACTAGAGGTTACATTTGGGGGCTTGAGGGTGGAACAGAGGCGGGGTGGAGACAGAGAGCAAGGCAAAGGGGTGAGGATGAGGTTGTGTGACTAAAAAACAACCCCAATACATTTCACCCGTTAATAAGGGGTCTCCAGTTGTGCTTTTACCTTGGTGGTGGGGAGGGCTGGCGTGGGCAGACATGTGGGCCTGGGCAGAGGGGTGGGCTTTTCTCCTAGGTTTGAGGCCTCAGGGCTGGAGCAGCCCCTCCTTCCCCGCACCTGTCCTGGGCTCGGGATAAAGGCCTTGGTGAGCTGGTCACCCTGGGGCAGGGAGGATGCCCAGAGGCCACCGGCACCAAGGGGGCTGGCAGAGTTGGGCTGAGAGGGTGATTAGGTGGGCAGCTGGGTGGGGGGCAGGAAGGTTCTAGAAGGAAGGGCATTCCTAGTAGGGCCCCTGGGAAATGAATGCAGGTGACATGAGGGAGAGGGGCTGGGGGTGGGCAAATGCCATCTCTCTGGACCTCACCTGTACAATGGGGATACCAGATTAGATGGTCCTTAAGGTCCCCTCCAGCTCTAAGGGTCAAGGGATCCCCAGGAAAAAGTGGTCCTTCTGCCCCAACACACACACACGCAAACACACACACACACACACACACACACACACACGCACACGCATACACCCTGACACACAGAGCACTGGCCAGACAGAGAACCCTGAATCCCTGAACCCAGAACTCAACCTCAACCCAGGGACTCTCCAGAGCAGGTTCACCCATCCCATGCCTGGGGACAGACCCTGGGAATAACCCCCCACTCCCTCGGGCCATCCAGCGAGAAGAAAACATAGGATCTGCACCCCAGCCCAGCCCTCCAGGTCCTTAGGGGGAAGTCAAGGGGATGAGGACAGGAGGACACGCGGGCCTTCCCTACCGGCCCCAGCTCCTGTGAAGGCAGAGGAGAGGGGAGGGGAAACAGGGTGTCCTCTGTCTGGGACCCAGGGAGATGGGCAGCAGCTACAGCCACTGTGGGCAGAGGGTGACAGCCTCTGTGTGGCACCCAGGCCTGCCACGGGAGGGAGGGAGGGTCTGTGGCCTGGGATGAGAGGCCAGAATTTGGGGCAGGGGGACAGTATCTCTGCTAGTGCGGGATCCCTGTGACATCTGTAACATCTCAAACAGCACCCTGCAGACAGGGTGACCAAGCTCCGGTGGCAGGAGATCTCAGGGCCAGTGGCCAGTGGCGTGACAGCTCCCGGGCTGTATAGTACCTGGCTTCCAAGGCTGGCTCCACCCAAACTTGCCGTGTGACCTTGGGCTAGTCCCTCCCCACGCTCCACTTCAGCTACTTCATTTGCACCACAAAGGGCTTGACTCCCAAGGCCCACCCTGGTCCCCAAGCCTGAGCCAGGGGCTTTCAGGAGCACTGGGAAAAGGAGAATGGATGGGAAGGAGGGAACAGGCCCCTCCCAGAGGGGGCAGAGGTGGAGAAGCATTCCAGGAGGAGGGGCTTGGTCTTCAGGCTTGCCTCAGCGCCCCTAGGAGGCTGTGTGCCGTCCCAGGGCACGACAGTTGAGACTCCCCATCCGCTGCTATATGGCACCTGGCCCCAGGAGCCCCTTTCTCCCCAGACACCAGCCTGAAGGGGACAGCAGTGGAAGGGCCCCAACACCCTAAGGGCTGACCCTCTCCCCATTTTAAGGCCACAAAATGCCTCCATCACCCTGACCCAGAGGGTGAGGCTGCCACTGGGGAGATGCACTGGATCCAGCCAGCCTGGTCTCCCCTGGGCTGGGGTGTTCATGGGCCACCCGCCGACACACAGGCACTGACACACGCTGCCACACACGGACACACTGCACAGACACACCAACAGGGACACATAGTCACTCTGGGATGCACAAATACACTGGCTCCTTGCAGACACAGAGGCACACGCGAACACACACCGACGGCACGTGCCTGGGCACTCCCAGCACCTGCCAGCACACACCGACACCCACGGCCCCACACACCGGCCGGCACGCACGGACACGCACACGTCACCTCGGCGTCTCAGCAGACACACCACTCCGTCAGTCCCAGGTCCAGCCACCCTCGGGGCAGGGCTGCCCTCGCCCACTGAGACCCCGCACAGCATCCTCCGTCCGAAAGACGGGGAGCTCGGGGGCCGCGTGCGCGGGTCAGCTCAGCCGGCAGGCACTGAGCGCCGTTTCTGCGTCAGGCTCTGCGGATACAGAGATGACACGGGGACAAATCCCGAGTCAGAGCAGCCGGAGCGAGGGGCAGGCGGACTGGAAAGGCCATCTGAGGGAAGCAGGCACGGGCGTCACAGGAGCCCCGGGGAGGCAGCGCTTGGGGCTATGCGTTCTCATGCTCCGGCACCTGCCCTGCGAGGGCACAGAGGAAGTGCCGGGTAGGTAGGGGACAGGCCAGTGGGTCCCACTCTCGGGTTCTCCTGAGGAGCTTTTCAACATTTCTGGTGCCAATTAAATCAGTAACTCTGGGGTGGGACCCAGGCAGCAATGCTTTTTAACGGACCATTTGGTGGCTCTGCTCTGCAGCGGCCTGGGACCCACTGATTTACGGAGTCCTTTCCGCTGGGCAAAGCCCACGGCGCGGCTTCCATCGCAGGCTGGCCTGCGCCAGGCGCGGGCGGGAGGCGGGAGGGGGGGGCTTGCACGGCTCGGAGGAGGAGCTCACAGTCTAGTTAGGGGCAGCAGACTCTGCACAGATGGGACAATTAAGGAACAATACCCTGCAGACGGGATGGAGGCGTGTGCCGGGAACCTGGAGCCACTCGTTTCCGACAGTGGCCTTGACTGGGCCAGGAAGGCAGCCGCGCTGATCAGTATCAGCAGTTCCAGCTGCAGCCTGGCCCTGCCACCCACCAGCTGTTGGTGATGATGATAACACAGGCTTGGCGGAGCGCAGAGACGGGCAGCATTCGCCTGGTTCCCCGCCAGCCTCCTGGCGCTGCAGTGCTGCCCGAGTTCCAGGCCTCTCTCTGCAGCTGTCCCCACCAAATGCTCCAGGAGGAGCCCTGTGACACCCAGCACCCAAGGTGCTGTGTTCAACAGGGTCGTCTGCAGCTCTCTGTCATCCATAGGGGGCGAAAGGTGGAATCTGAGGCCGTCACAGGCATCTTGAGACTACAGCATAGGGCTGGAAGCAGTCTATTCAGCCGGCACCCCACAGACAGACGTGCCACTCAGGCTGATGGACACAGGCGCTCAGAGATGGGTATCGACACAGCCTCACAGGCAGACTCACGGAACCGCACACACATACCGCACACACTCCTGCCCAGCAATGTACCCACGGTGCTACCCAGACACAGATGGGCATGTGCACACGCACACACCCCCACACACGTGCACACAGACACACACATGCATAAAGCCTCATCCTGGAAGGGGCTGGGGCTCCTCTGTCCCAGGGATGGGGATGGGGGCCTCTGGGTGACGAGGAAGTAGAGAAATCTAGGTCCCATCACGTCGCTCTCGGGCTCCCACCCCAGGGCCCAAGGCCAGGGAGCCCTTTCACAGTTCAGGGCATGAGGCTCAGCCCCCAGGAGCAAGGGAACAGCAACGGTCCCACCCACCACCCCCACTCTACAAACCCCTCCTCCTCACCGCCTCTGGGCGCGGGAGGGAACAGCCAACTCCACGGTTCTTTGTGGCGCTCTGCCCTGCACGCCCCTCCTGCCCAGGGCACACTTTCATGCCAAGAGGGTAAGAAACGGGGGCTCCGGTCACTCCCAAATCCAGTCCTCTACGGGGGCACAAATTACAGAAGCAGGACTTCTGCCTCTCTCCAAGTCAAGCCTCACCCCAGAAAATGGCCTAGCCACCACTGCCCCAGCTCCTCTGAGACCCTTCCGGAGGCCGAGATCAGGGAGGGGGCTGTGCTCGCAGGAGTCCAGCTGCTTGTGGGATGGGGGAGGTGTCAGTCTTCAGACTGCCCAGGCCCAGGACCCTGTGCTGGGTCCTTTCAAAGGGGGCACACAAGGAGGGGAACGTGATGTCTCAGAAATAGGCCAGGTGGCCTAGGGTGGCCTAGGGTCTCCACCATCCAGGCCTCACTCTGGGATGGAGCTGGGTGCAGCAGGCACCCCACCTTCCTTGTCATCCCCTGGACGGGGTCAGCCACAGAGCACACAAAGTCCCACCTGGCCCTCCTCTGACCCCTGCCTCCCCGGTCCCAGGGAGTCCCAGCATCCGTCCGACCAAGGCAGGGGCTCCCGTGTCTGTCCCACTTCTGGCTTCCTCCTGGCAAAGCCACCAGGCTGGAGTCGGGCCTTGAGTTAGGAGACGAGGAAGGTCAGAAACACACCACAAGTGCAGCCGAGACAAGGCGCACGTCACGCAGAGGTCCCTGGGTTGGCAGACGCCGTTCAGGCAAGTCCCGTCTTTGCAGTAAAGAAGGTGCTGGCAGGTCGGAAAGAAACTTGTGCTTTAATATATCTGTGTGTGTGAGCGTGAGTGTGTGCGTGTCGAACAACCGTCTCCGTGGCCTCAGTGCAGCCTCTGTCCTTGTCCTCTGCTCATCTTCGCAGCCGACACAGGCCCCCTCCCAGGCGGGCCAGCCCTGCCCCTGGGCACCCCGGCTGGCGGGGCTCAGTCTTTGGTACAATGTGGACACTTTGGTGTGCCGGGGGCAGGGTGGGGGGGCCGAGCGGCTCTCATCATCTCTGCCACGCCAAGAGGAAGATGGCCGCAGGCCCCCACAGCTGCGGGCTGGGCTGGCGGGGGGCTCCACTGCCCGGCATCACCACCACTGCGACGGGAGAGAGAGGAGACAGGCCAGGGCTCTGGTCAGCTCTGGCAGGGGCAGGGCGTGGCAGGCCGGCCAGCAGTAACGGGGCCCTGTGGCTCTGCCCCACCTCTTTGGGGGCCCTCAAGGTGGGCACCGCGGTCAGCGCACACAGACACACTCGTAGCACAAACGTGAGGTGGTGCGGTGTGAGAGCTAGCTCAGCCTGCGTGTGCTTCGGGCAGCAATTTACTTAACCTCAGTGGGCCTCAGTTTCCTCATCTGCAAAATGGGTCTAATAGTGTGAGCTACCCCAGAGGACTGCTGTGAGGATTAAGTGAAGCATGCATATCCAGGTTTTTGTACCTTGCCTGGTACATAAAAGCTACTCAGTAAACTGGAGCTGTTAGTACTGGAAACACCTGGCCCTCGGAGGCACAGGTTCACATCTGGAGCTCCAGGGCCACGGAGACATATGCAGACACAGGCACAGGCGGCACTCTGACACTGCAAATAGTCCGCTCGCTGCTTGTGAGGCTGGGTCTGGGGCTTCTCACTGTCCTACCGACGGACGGCCCCACAGTCTGAGTCCGGGTGGGGGCCAGGGTGGGCACAAGTTCACACTGTCACTGACACATCATTCCCACCACGCAGACATCCTGAGCCCCACTCAGACACACACGCCCCCACGACAGACGGGCATCCACCCCACGGTCCTCCCCAGACTCCGCTCCCCCACCCCTCCCTGTCTTGCACCTTTATTGGGATCCATCTGCTTCCGGGGACACTCGCCCTTCTTCAGAGTGACGTCATCTATGGCAATATCCCCCAGGTACCCCGAGCCTCGAACCCCCTCAAAAATAATCTGGGGTGGGGTCAGAGAGCAGGGAGCAGGGGTTGGGGAGGTTCTTCCAGGTGCCAGAGACCCCCAACCTCTTCCCCTCAATCTACCCGGAAGCCTCCCGGCCAGCGCAACCGCCCGCGCCTGGAGGGGCCTCTGGGCCCAGCAGACTCACCTGGAAGGGCCCACTGGGGCTGATGGGCACGTGGGCCTGCTGCCACACGTTGCCCTTATTGCCACTGAGGGACCAGGCGTGCGTGTCCAGAGCCCCTTTGTTCCGGGACCGCACCAGGAGGTTGAGGGAGCCTGTGGCGGGGGTGAAGACGGGGCGGTGAGGCCCGGCCAGGACACCCTCGCCTTGCCGCGCTTCCTCCTCGCCCACCACTGCCCACAGCCCTGTCCCCAGGGCAGGACCCTCTCCCCATCCGCAGCCTGGCCCAGCGTCTCAGTCCCGCAGGGAGACGCCAGCGAGGGAAAAAGAGGACAGCAGCCGGGCTTCGGTTCACCAGGGTGACCCGGGAATGTTCTTCCATTTCTTTCCTTCTGTGCTAATCGGCTAATCCCCCCCACCCTCCCTCCAAACAGGGGAGTTGTCACAGGGTAGTGGGACCTGCGTCCGAGCGCAGGGCAGGCCTCCCGCAGAACGCAATGCACACCCTGGCAGGACGTGATGCTGGAGGTGGATGAAGGGACTTTTAAAATTTTAATGCTCATTTGTGTGATTCATGTGGTGAATAAAGCTAACCCTTCGAACTCAGGATTTCTCTAACACTGATGCTTAGGACAAAGTGAATAAAAAACAACAAAAAAAGAGTGAGTTGATTTAACGATAGTGCCGGTGCTACATAGCGTGGTGAGAACTGCGAGTGAGATTCGGAGGCGTTAGCCTGAGGGTGCTGAGCCACGTGCCCACAGCCGCCGGCACCTGGGATTCCGGGGTGCCGAGGGGCACAAGAGGAGAAGGAGGGACTGTGGCTTGGCTAAGAGCACCCAGGCAACGTCAACGCCCCCCGCCGGTCTCTCCCAGCCCACCTCGAGCCCCAGCAACACAAAATACCTGGCTCTGAGGGAAGGGGAATCAATCTTAGGTGGCGCCTGGCGGCTGGCATTTCCATGGCACTGCCCACAGACAAAGCCGCACCATCTGTGACACCAGATAGAGAGACCTCCTGATGGGGGAGAGCCACCAAATGTTACCTTCCTGGGATGAAAGACGCTGGCTTGGATCAAGGAGAGCCAGCGAGACACAAGGTCTGGGGACAGCTGGTGCCCTGAGCTGCCAGGCAGGGTGGGAGGGGAGGGGAGAGGAGGGACCAGGACAGCAAGAACACCCCCTGCCCAGCAGCAGAGCCAGGCCTGTGGAGCGTACCGAAGGTTCCAGGCACCCTCACCAGCAGGAGAGGGGTCCAGGCTGCAACTAGCACCCAGTAGAACAGGAGGTGGCAGCCCTGGCTTTGGCAGGGCTGAAGCCAAATGCCTTTTGGGTTTCTCACCAGCCCCAAAGGGACCACCCTCTCTACCCCCTCCTGGGGATCTGCCCCCATCTCCATGCCCCTGGGGCCCAGCCTCAATCCCATGCCATTTCTTCCTCCTCCACCCCCTGCCCCTAGGACCCTGATGGGCGAGCCTGCTTTTTCACTGCTCAAACTGAAATAGAATTTCTACCCCCTTCTCTCAGCACCCGATCAGCTCCAATATCCTCCCTGCTCAGGGCCTTCCTGACATCTCTTCCCAGGGGTCAGCCAGGGCCCAAGACCCCCCCCTCCCTTAAGAGTGGGCCTGCACCCTACATTCCTCCGCACCTTCCTGCCACCTCCAAAGCCGAATGGAACTACGTGCTGGTGCCTGGACACACTCCAGCTTCCCGGCCTCTGGGCTTCAGCCCAGGCTGTTCCCTCTGCTTGAGACGTCCTTCCCTACTATGTCCCCCTGGCCAAATCCTTTCCCCTTCTTCGAGGCCCGTCTGGAATGCTGCCTCCTCCAGAAACCTTCCTACGTTCGAGCTGGTAGCCCCCATATTTCTCGTGAATTCCGAGTCCCTGGGCTCCCCAAGCCCAGGCCTCTCTGCGCTGCAGCAAGGCAAGCCTGGCCCACATCTCCTCCTCCAGACTGACGTCTTGAGGGAAGGTCTACGTCAAATTGTTGCGGCTACTTTTGCACTCCTGAGCTCGCTTGAAGAAAGGAATGATTACTCCAAACACACAGTGTTTAGAGAAAAGGGGAGAGACCAAAATCTAAAGGCGAAAATGGCCTCCTCAGCTGGGTTCCTCCCCATATTTATTTCCAAGGACACATGCAAAGGGTCAGGGGCATTTGTTAATTTTTTTTAACAACTTCCATGTAGGTCAGCTGTTTTCAGCTGACCTTTGCACACAGCAAACAAGCAGCTCTGGGCAGGCATTTACACCTGACCCTTCGTTCACCTGCTCACGGTCTTTCCATCCAGCCATCCTTTCTTCTAGCCCAGCCCCCACATCAAATTCCTATCAGTTCTCAACAATGAAATGATGAATGGAGAACTTTCCATGATTGTCACTAAGGTCTTTCGCGGAATCTCAGAGTTGGACGTGGCCTCAAGGTTTATCAAGCCCAAATCCCCCATCATTCATTTAATCATTCATTCATTCGACTAATTGAGCACCACTGTGTGCCAGGCACTGTTCTAGGCACTAGAACAAGACGAAGCCCCTGTCCCTGTGGAGCTGCTGTTTTACTGAAGCTAGGCATTATACGGAAAATAATGCAGGGAAAAGGATAGAGAGCTGTTTTAGATGAGTGGTCAGGGACCTCTTTGAGGAGACCTGAATGAAGGGAGGGAAGAATGTTCCAGGCTGGGGGAATATCCCAAACAAAGGCCTCTAAGGCAGGAACCTGCATCAAGCAGTTAAAGAAAAGCAAGGAAACCATCAAGCTAGAGCCTAGCGGGAGCCAAGGACAGTGGCAGCAAAAGGGGTCCAGGAAGCAGATGGGGGCCAGCTCCGGTGTGGGAGACCTGGAGAAGGCGGTGCTGGGGGCCTTCGGAGGGGCCCGAGCAGGGGATCTGGGACATGGGTCCTCCCCACAGCACCCCTGCTGGATTGTCCTACTGCCCAGGGACAGCCCTCTCGTTTGCGGGGCAGATCTGACGCTTCCAGTTCTTGCTTAGGCAGAAGTCAAATCCGCCTCCCACAAGCCTTCCCTGACAGTGTTTTTTCTCCCCGTTGGGGAACTAAGAGCAAGGTCTGTCGCAAGGACTGCCCCTCAGGGCTTTCTCTCTCCCCGCTCATAAGGCCTGATCTCCCAGGGCCTTCCTGCAGCCAACATGCTCCTCTTGGCAACTGGGTCCCCAGTGCCCTTCCTGAGTGACCAACTGTCCTGGTTTGCCTAGGACATAGGGGGTTCAGTGCTAAAACTGGGAAAGGCTGGGGCGAACCAGAGTGGACTGGTTACCCTCGCTGTGTGGTCTTGGGCAAATGCTTAACCTCCGTGAGTTGTGTGGTAACACTTCCCCAGCTGGTGGCGCTGTGGGTTATGAGACCAGGGATGCTGAGTGCCTAGGACATCACCTGGCACCTGGCAGCCACTCAATATACGCAGCCTCTTCGTGGTCCCCTCCATCCCCCCGGACCTCCATCACCCTGCTGAAGCCTTGATCATCTCAAAACCTCAACGTCTCCCCTTGCCAACCTTCTATCCATACCCTCTCCAAGGACTTGTGATTTGGCCAAGTCGGGAAGCTCAGGCCTCACATGGGCCGGCCCCCCGGCCTCCTGTGACCCCACTCCCCGCCCACCCCCAGCACACACAGTCACAGTACCTGGCCCCCGACTCACCGATGTGCTTCCCATACATGTGGTAGAAGAAGGAGACACAGTAGAACTTGGCGCTGGCGTTGTAGAGGGGACTCACCAGCCTCGCTCGGTCGCCCAGCTCCCGGGGCCTTGATGTCTCAATGAACATGTAGTAGCCTGCGGGGGAAGGGGAGGGGCCGGGGGATGATGCTCCAACAGGCTCCTCTCCGCCCACCACACCTCCTCCACCTGCTTCCCCTGCCCAGCCTCAGCTGCTCGCCCGGCCTCCCCGCCTCGCCCGGCCTCCTCGCCCGGCCTCCCGGCCCCACAGCACTGCGCAGGAGTCTGGTCGGTGTCCATGAGTTCTCAGCTCTACAATTTCTGCAATTTCTCTTCTTCCTGACCCTCCATTAGGACAGGGCCATGTCTCCCCTCAGACTGGGGTTCCCCGAGGACAGGCCGGGTCTCCCCTCAGACTGGGGCTCCCCGAGGACAGGGCCATGTCTCCCCTCAGACTGGGGCTCCCCAAGGACAGGGCCTTGTCTCCCCTCAGACTGGGGCTCCCCAAGGACAGGCCGTGTCTCCCCTCAGACTGGGGCTCCCTGAGGACAGGCCGTGTCTCCCCTCAGACTGGGGTTCCCTGAGGACAGGCTGTGTCCCCCCTCAGACTGGGGCTCCCTGAGGACAGGGCCATGTCTCCCCTCAGACTGGGCTCCCTGAGGACAGGCCGTGTCTCCCCTCAGACTGGGGTTCTCCCTGAGGACAGGGCCATGTCTCCCCTCAGACTGGGCTCCCTGAGGACAGGCCGTGTCTCCCCTCAGACTGGGGTTCCCTGAGGACAGGCCGTGTCTCCCCTCAGACTGGGGTTCCCTGAGGACAGGCCGTGTCTCCTCTCAGACTGGGGCTCCCTGAGGACAGGGCTGTGTCTCCCCTCACATTGGGCTCCCTGAGGACAAGGCCATGTCTCCCCTCAGACTGGGGTTCCCTGAGGACAGGGCCATGTCTCCCCTCAGACTGGGGCTCCCTGAGGACAGAGCTGTGTCTCCCCTCAGACTGGGGCTCCCTGAGGACAGGGCCTTGTCTCCCCTCAGACTGGGGCTCCCTGATGACAGAGCCGTGTCTCCCCTCAGACTGGGGCTCCCTGAGGACAGGGCCATGTCTCCCCTCAGACCAGGCTCCCCGGGCACAAGGCCGTGTCTCCTCTCAGATTGGGGCTCCCCGAGGACAGAGCCATGTCTCTCCTCAGACTGGGGCTCCCTGAGGATGGGGTTGTGTCTCCCCTTAGACTGGGGCTCCCTGAGGACAGGGCCGTGTCTCCCCTCAGACTAAGGCACCCCAGGCACAAGGCCGGGTCTCCCTCAGACTGGGGCTCCCTGGCCCAGCCCCCTCCTGAAAGCAGTCCTCCATTCCTAGCAGATGGCCAGGTTCTCACCCTCAGGGGTGCCACTTATGTCAGTGGGGGGACCGGTGTTGGGGGAGCGCTTGGGGTTCTGGGTGAGGGCGTTCTGCCGCGTCCAGTCAAAGTTGTCTGTCAGGTCCTGGGTGTAGCCACAGATCTTCTCATCCTCAAAGTGGCAGGTGTTGTCTGCATTGGGGTAGGGATGAGACAGAGTCAGCCCCCTCCGCCCTTTGGTCCAGCCTTGCCCTCCCTCACCACCCCTGAGGTGCCCCACGCATCCAAGCAATGGACCTGGCAACGGGACGGTAACAGATTTGTTCCTGTAACAAGCCTTATGAACCATTTTTGTGCCACAGACCCTTTGGGCATCTAGTGAAGCCTCAGGACCCCATCTCAGAATAATGATTTTAGATGCGTAAAATGAATTACATAGGATTATAAAGAATATCAATTACATTGAAATATAGTTGTCAAAATACTTTTTAATTTGTCATAAAATTATAAGTGGGCTTCTGTATTATCTAAATCATAAGACCTGGTGTTTGGTCTAATAGCTACCATAGTTTTAAAATAGTAAAGAATGTAAATGAGATTTAGAGCTGTCTGCAACAACTACAAGGTGATGTGAAAACATCAGATTGCCACTGCTGACAAAGCACAGGGACTGATTCCACTGCTGTGGTTTGTTGTCGACATTCATCACTGAAGGAGAAGTCGTGTTTCTGCTAGAAGTCAGGGAATATAAAGAAATAATTGTATGCCCTTCCAGGTTCATAGACCCCCCTGAATTCTATGCCATACCCCTTAGGGCTCCCTGGCTCACAGACTAGGAACCCTGCCCCAGGCAACAGGGAGTGTGGATTAGTCTGGCCTCTCCTATTTTCTCTTGGGGACAGTAATCTCTCCCCACCTGCCCAGACTTTAAGCCCCAGAATAAATCCTAAATGCAAACATCTCCAGCCCAGCCCGGCCTGTCCTTCTAGCTGCTGGCCCTGCCCCATGGAAAGACAGCGAGAAGTCATTTTCTGAGTATCTCTCAAGGTCCTGTCCTCCCACCAGGAGAGCAGTTGTGTCCCTAAAGGGAAGGGGAAGTCGTGCTTCTGGAGGGGGTGTTGGTGTCTCACCTGACAGGTTCGGAGAGTTGATGGCTGAGAAAGCAAGCAGGAAACCAAGTCAGAACCAAGGTGTGTCCTGCTTGGGACCAGGGGACAGGGTCCGCAGAGCCAGGAATAGGGGCCAGTGGGCCTGGCCTGCAGTGATAGGGTAGGAGAGTGCACAGTGGGGAGCCCCAAGCTCAGGAACCTGTGGGGATGGTGGATGGAGTCCCAGGGTGTGAGATGGGCCCACCTTTCCCACCACCACCAGCACTGTCACCTACGCTCTGTGTAGTGAATGATGCGTGAGGCCATGTCACCAGCCCCAAAGGTGGTATAGGGTGTGAGGCGGATCTCATAGCTGTGGGGCACACGGAGATCAGTCAGGATGTACTCCAGCAGCTGCCCCTTCTCCACACGCCGCACAGGGATGGCCTTGACCATGGCATTGTGCTGGTTCAACTGTAAACACAGAGAGTTCCCAGATGCACAGCAGGCCACACTCTCCGCTGGAGCCCAGCCAGGCCCTCGTGTGACTTGGGAGGGACACAGTGGAGGAGCAGAATGAGCAAAGGACTAGGAAGTCAGGCCCTCAGTTTCCTTATCTGTGAGATGGGACAATCACCCCTTCCATGCTCACCTCCCAGGGTTATCTTAATAATAACAATAATGATAGTACCATGTATTGAATAATTAATGAGTACTGGGTACTGTTCTAAGTGTGTGGCTGTTATTAACTCATATAATCCCACAATAACACTCCTATGAGGTAGAATATTATAATTACCCCCATTTTACAGAGAAGAAAACTGAGGCCAAAGAGATGTAGCTTGCCCAAGCTCATACACAACTGGATTCTAGCATAGGCAGTCTGCCTTAGAGCACACTCATACCGTCCCACCAACTGCCTCTTGGGCTGGGCAGAACCACATGGAATGAGACTGGGCATGAAAACAGCTTAGTGACTCTGTCTGGCCTTGTGCTGTAGAGACCCCCTAGATGAGACTGACCCCAGGTCCTTAAGCTCTTGACCCAAGAGTAGATTCTACGTTCTGTAACCAGTGCTGGCTCTCCCTTGACCCAGGGGACTCTTACCTGCCCAATTCTCAGGGCTATCCCCAAAAGGGACAGGTCCCTAGAACTTTGTAACTCTTGCTGCTAAGTCTAGAACACTTGCTTCCCGCCTCTAAAGAGTTGCCTACAAGCAGGTCGATGTGGCTGAGCCCTGTCTCCAGCCCCTTCCCCTGGCCCGGAGCATTTCCAGAGTCAGCCGCACCACCCCCAGCGGCCCCAGGCCCCTGCTCCCCACCTGGCGGACACTGAGTCTGTAGTTGAGCACAGGGTCGACAGCATCCGGCTCCCTCTGCGTCCACTGCAGCACGTAGGAGTAGTTCTTGGACAGCTTGTGGCTGCGGGTGGGGTTGGGGGTGTCGAAGTAAAACTCCGGGCTGTAGGCTTTGGCTGAGAGGGTGGGGAGGGGGCATGGGGCCATGGAGGGTGGGGGAGGGGAGAGACAGAGAGAGGAGGCGTGGGAGAGGGAACAGAGGACGGGGTGGAACAGAGTGAACGGGGAAGGAAGAAGGAGAAAGGGAACATTGAGAGGAGGGAGATGTTGGGAGAAGAGAGGATGGGGAGAATGAGGATGGGTAGGAGGGAAGGTGGGAGACAGAGAAGGGATATTGGAAATTCCAAGAGGTGATATATTGGCGAGATGAGAAAAGGCCAAAGAAGAGACAGAGAAAAGAGAAATTCGGGAAGACAAAGAGGAGGGATATTAGGGAAGGCACAGGGAAGGAGGATTGGGGTAAGACACCGAGAAGGTTCGGGATATTGAGAAGAAAAGAGAAGAGAGAGGAGGGAACAGAGGGAGGCAGAGAGGTGGGGAGACAGGGCAAGTGTAGGAGAAGAGGGGAGAAGGGAAGGAGGTGGGAAATGTCACAGGGGCCTCTGGCTGGCAGGGCTGGGTGGCGGGGAGGGGCTAGGGAGGGAGCCAGTGACCTGTGGTCCTAGCCCCCCGCTTTCGAGTGGGGGCATCCGAACAGGCGCTGAAGGGGCACCCAGTCAGCTAGGTGCTGTTGGGAAAGCTGGGTGTGCAGTGAAATGGGGACAGGCACGCCTGGGCTCTCCTCCAGGGGCGCTGCCACCAGCTCCGGCAGGGAGGTGACGCTCCCCAAACGGAGGACGGAGGGGATCACTGGCAACCCTCTGCGTTGCCCTCGGCCCTCACCACCTCCACCCCTTTCTGACCCATCCACCGCCCGCCCGGAGCCCCAGACAGCCCGCCCAGGGCTGGGGCGGAGGTGGACTCCTGGGCACAGAAGGGCTTGCCTCTCCAGGCTGGGAAACGCGCGCTGTCCGCCCCAGAGCCACCCTGACGCTCCAGAGAAGCTGTTGAGGGCGTCTTTTCTCCTCAGCTACAGCTCAGGACCCTGAGGAGGCTCCCTGTCTGCAGCTCTGGCGCCAAGGACGAGCGAGCAGGGGCTGGGAACGCGACGGTGCCAGGGCGTGGGCGGGCCCAACGCCGGCGGGAGCGGGCTGGAGCCGACCGCGCGGGAAGCACTGAGCTGGGACTGACGGGGCCGAAAGGGGCGGAGCCTACCCGTGTGTGGGCGGGGCCCAGACTCGGGGCGGGTCTAGGCCTGAGGCCGCCAGGGCCAATGGGGCACGGCCCAGGCCTGGTGAAGGTTGGGTTAGAAAGGGGTGCGGCTGCAACACGCCAAGGAAGAGGTGGCTGAGCTGTGATGGGCGGGGCTTAAGACAGGTGGGGGAGGGCCTTGAAAGGGGCAGGCCTAGACCTACAGAGGGAGGGGTGGAGGGGCGTGGCCCGCGTCTGGAGGGGGCGGGGCCGTGAGGTCAAGGATTGGGTCCAGGCGGCACGGGGCGGGGTCTAGGCTGGGCATGGGAGGGGTCTAGGCTGGGAATGGGCGGGGTCTAGACCGGGCGTGGGTGGGGTCTAGGTCGGCTATGGGCAGGGTCTAGGCCGGGCATGGGCGGGGTCTAGGCCGGGCATGGGCGGGGTCTAGGCCGGGCATGGGCGGGGTCTAGGCCGGGCATGGGCGGGGTCTAGGCCGGGCATGGGCGGGTCTTGGACTGGCCCTGCGGAAGCCTGGCGGAGGCGGGCTTCAAAGGGGCGGGGCCCAGCCCGGGCGGCACTCCAGGGACTGGGGCGGAGCCTGGCGCCAGGTGGGAGTGGGTGGGCGGGACCCACGGGACGCTCACCCGAGACCTGGAAGAGGCAGGTAGCCGAGCCCACGTCGTTGGAGACGCTGCACTCGTAGCTGCCGCTGCTGTCCCGGGTTAGGGCGTCCAGGCGCAGCTCCGCGTGGTCCGGGGCCTCGGCGGCGGCGGGCACGACGGGCGGCGGCGGCAGCAGCTGCCCTTTGAAGCGCCACACGGCCGAGGCGATGCGCTGGGGGCTGCCTCGCAGCAGCGAGCAGCGCAGGAGCACCGGCCGGCCCAGCGCCTGGCGCACATCCTGGGAGCTGGGCTCCACCTCCGGCGGGACTGGGGGCGGGAGTGGCGGTCAGCGGGGCCTCGCCCACCCAGTGGGGTCTGAGGAGCGGCCCGCGGAGAGGCGACGCACTCCCCTACTCCCGCGACCCCCAGCCTGCAAGGATTCAGGGCGGATGCGCACTCGCGACACACGCATACAATAGCAAGGCTCATTCCTCCCGGACCTCAGGTACTCACTGCCTCCTGGCCCTTCCCTCCAACCATGCTTCCCAGGCTGCCTCTACTCCCTGAGTGGGCCTCTCACCCCTCACGTAATGAAAAGCAGCATAACGCAGGGGTTCAAATCCCAGACCTGCCTCTGTGAGACCTCAGACAAGTGACTTAACCTCTCTGTGCCTCAGTTTCCTTATTTGTAAAAATAGGGGACTAATAGAATTTATTCATAGGGCTGTGGAGGGCTAAATGAATGAGTGCATTAAAACTCCCTCAGAATAGTGCTTGGCACATGATGAGTGAATTTTCATCATTTTGTTATCAGATAGTGTGTTCCCCCTGAAGATCCTTCCTCCTCCTCAAACTCCCATTTCCACCTGTCAGAATCAAGTCATTTCTTTGTTCGCCGGGGCCCTGAAAATGAAGGTAGGAGTCCGCTTAACGGAAGCGGGCCGGGAACACAGCCCTGTGTGTCTCAGCGCACGGTGGCAGGGAGGTTCTCGGGGTACCAGCAGTAGGCCAGGGGCTTGTGGGCCCCGGGCTGGGCGAGGGCAGCCGGGCTGGGAAGGCAGCGGGGACAGGGTGGTGTGACTCACACTGCACGTTCAGCTGCACCTGGGCCTCTCGAGGGCGCACGTTGAAGCCATTATAGCGAGCCGTCTGGCAGCGGTACGTCCCGCTCATGTCGCGGCTCACGCGCTCCAGCCTCAACTTCCCGTCCGGAGTCTCCTCCAGGAGCAGCCCCGAGGGCAGCAGCGCAGCCTCCTTGTCCACGCGGGACCAGAGCACGGGCGGCCGCGGCTTGCCCCGCACCTCGCACTGCAGCTCGGCAGGCGACCCCTCGCGCACGGTCACCACGGCCCTGCCCTTGGGCACGCTGATGGTGGGCGGCACTGCGGGAGGGAGGGGTGGGGGAGAGGTAGGAGCGAGTTAGAGCTCCCTCCTGGCTTCTGCGACTGGCTCCTGCTTGCCTCCCCCTAGTGCAAGCCTCTCTCCCCGTCCCCTGGGTCCCTCAGCATCTGCAAAGCAGAACTCATCTTTCCACATCCTCTCTACCTCAGGGTGTCCCAGCTCAAACAGAGACCTCAAGTCACCTTGGCCTATTCCTTCCCTCCCAACACTACTAAGTACTGAGGCTTCCTACCTTTTTAAACATTTCTACTAGATATCTCAACTCTCAGTCCCCTCTCCTACCCCTGGGCCTGCCCTGGTTAAAGCCTTCATATTCTCTTGCCTAGAGTGTTATCACAGACTGCTAGTCTGTCCCCCTGCATCCTTACCCTTTCTTCCAAAGTAACAGAATGCCTGGTTTTGAGCAGGGGACACATCCACCCAGAATAAAGACTAATCCCCCAGCCTGCCTTATGGCTAGCTGGGGCCACATAACTAAATTCTGGCTGACGCCTGGAACTGCCACCATGGACAAGGTGGCATATGCTAAGGATGATGGAAGAGCAAGTCAGATGCAGCCTGGGCCCCTGAGGCCTTGGTGGAGCAGAGCCACTGTACTAGCCTGAACTGTCCACCCCAAACTTTTATATGAGGAAGAAATACACATCTAGCTTGTTGAAGCCATTATTAATTAGGGTTCTTCTGTTATTCACAACTGAACCTAATCCAACCCAACACATTGCCCAAATGAAAGGTCTTTTGAAGACTTCCATGGGTCCCATCGCACAGCCCATCAAACACATTAAAATGCACCCATGCCCTACATTAAATATAATTAAATATAAAGTTATTATTTGTAAATAGCTCTACAAGGCAAGCTGAGGTCCAGTTATCTAGTTAGCATAATTTGTACTCTATAAACATTTGTGCATTTATTGGCTTTAATTTTGCAGTTTTCTCTTTGTATTTGGGAGCCAATTAATTTATTTTTCCAGTCCTAAATCATTTCCATGATCCTTAAAACACTTCCATGCCTGAGGCATCAGGCCTAGAGCCAAATGGTGGAAACAGCCCCAGGTTTCCTGCCTGGCTCTGAAAACATCCCAGCTCCCCACCCTTTTACACTCCCCACAGGCTACACAGCCTCTCTCCCTTCTGGGCTGCACTGTGCTCAGGTTAAAGCTCAAACTCCTGGGCTCTGCAAACAAGGTCCTCTTGCCCTGGTCTCTACCACCCGCAGCCTCATCTCCCCTTCCCATCCTGTGTCCCATCTGTGGGATCCACTTGTGAGAGACACACTGCCTGGACACAGCAGGTCTCATACACTTTTGGGTGCTCCCCCATTCCTTCAGCTTGTCGTGTCCTTTCCTAGGCATGTCCTCCCATCTGGCAAATGTTAACGGCCCTCAAGGCTCACATGGAGCATGCCTCTCCAAGAAGATGTCCCTGGCTTCCCCAGGATGCTCTACAGACTCCTCCTTTACCTCCATGTCACACTTCCAAGGTTTGCCCTTCCATTTCCTGCCTGACCCCTCCCACAACATGCTCCTCTCCCCTGGCTAGGCAGTGTGCTCCAAGGAAGAGCTGTGTGTTGTCTGGCACCCAGGCCTTGGCATGAAGCAGTTTGCAAAATGAATTTATGCAACCTGTGGAGTTCTGGCCCACTCCCAAAGCCAGCTCAAGTTCATCTCCCAGAAGCCTTTTCTGACCTCTCCAGTTTCACCTTGTGCAGATGTCAGGGTGGAAGAGGCCTCCAAGGCCACCTGGTCCAATGTCTCTCAGAGAGAAACTGAGGCCCAGAGAGTTGAAGAGCCCAAGGAAGAAATATTCATAGCTGTTACGCTTTTGCACCTGGCCATGTGATAGCTGGCCGAAGTCAACCTGCTCCTCAGTACAAAGTCCTAGGGCTAAAGCCAAGACTCTGGAGACCCTCTCCAAAAGGTCCCCTCCAACCTCCTGTCATTCTCAAAGTGTAAACCCTTCAGCGGTGGCTGACAGCAGGCTCTGAAGTCAGATTGCCTGGGTTCAAATCCCAGCTCTACCACTTATTGTTGGCAAGAGCCTTAGGTAAGTTTCTCCAACTTTCTGAGCCTAAGTTTCTTCATCTGTAAAATGAGAAGATAAACTACTAGCCCATAAGGTAAATTATGAAAGTCAATGACATAAATATAAAATTGTCAGAATACATAGCAAATATTCCCGTAAATGTTAGCCATATATTTCATTCTTGTTATTTATTATTGTAATAAAGACTCGAATTCTTACCATGGCCTATGTTATCCACTGAATTGTGTCTCCCCCCAAACTCATTTGTTGAAGCCCTAACCCCAGGTACCTCAGAATGTGTGACTGTATTTGGAGACAGACTCTTTAAAGAGGGAATTAAGGTTATATGAGGTCACAAGGGTGAACCCTCGTCCCATATGACTGGTGTACCTATAAATGGAAGAGATCAGAACATAGACACGCCCAGAAGAAAGACCACGGAAAGACAAGGGGAGAAAAATGACCATCTACAAGCCAAGGAGAGAAGCCTCAGAAGAAATAACACCATGATCTCAGATTTCTAGCTTCCAGAACTGTGAGAAGATAAATTTCTGTTGTTTAAGCCACCAGTCTACAGTACCTTGTTATGGCAGCCCTAGCTGACTAGTAACAGCCTGCAAGGCCCTGTATAATCTGGCCCCTGACGACCTCTCCACAGTCATCCCACACCAGTCTCCAGTCTCCTATTCTCCTTTCATGGCTCTTCTATGTCCAATGCACATTCCTGCCTCAGTGCCTTTGCAATCCTGTGGCCCTTCCTTGCTCTCCTCTGCCTAGATCCCAGATGCAACATTCTATCTCAGGGAACTCTTTCCAGACTCTCATTTATCACAGTCTGCAATGATATATTTATTTGTGAGACTATCTAAAACATGTTTGCCTTCCTACTAAGTTTTCTAAGGGCAGAGCTTGTTTTGCCCACCATTCTACCCTGGGACCTAGCTCAGTGCCTGGCATAACAGGGGCTTAATAAACGTATGCAGCATGAACAAATGGCATCTCCTCACTCTGGCCTCACCTTCCCAAGCTATTCCCCCCACCTCCACCTCCCTTACATCTCCCCAACGCCCCTCCAGCTGCCCACCTGTCTCAGAGGAGATGTTGACCTCGACGCTGAGGTCGGGCACAGGTGCCCCTGGGAAGGAGGCCATGCACAGGTAGGTGCCATAGTCGCTGAAGTGCAGGTCAATGAGCTCTAGGCTGCTGGTGACAGCGGGCAACTCAGGGTCGTTGCGGGTCACCAGCAACCGCTTGGACATGCGTGCTGGCTTGCCATTCTTGAACCACTGGTAGGTCACCTTCTCCTGGGGCACCGCATCCACGTGGCATGACAGCTTCAGGTCCTGGCCCAGCTGTATGTTCTCACTCTCTTTGATCACATCAGGCGTGATCTGGAACGTGGCATTCTTCATGGCTACGGGTGGATGGGGAGGGAAGGATGGCTGGGGCCGGCCTGAAGCCAGGGGCCCCCGACCCACCCCACCCAGACCCAGCTTCTCCCCTCAAGCTGGCCCTCCTAGAGGCGGGGGGCTACAACCCCTCCAGGCGAAACCACTTTTCTCTGCTTGGAAATTGTTCTACTTGGTCAGAGTGTTTAAAACTTCAAAAAAGCTCACTGCAGAAAAGCAGGTTTGGTAATAATTACAGCCACTGCGGGCTGAAAGGCGCTGTTCTAAGCACAAAAATCTCTGAGGGAGTCGCTTTATGGTCCCCATTTTACAAAGGAGGGAACTGAAGTTCATTGACAGGTTAAGCAACTTGCCAAAAAAAGGTAGCAGATCTTGAATTCAAACTCAGAGCCTACACTCTTGACCACTACACTGCTTTATTTTTATCATTGTTTTAAACGTTGCATATGCAAAATACACATTTGGAAGGATGCGCTAGAATATAATTGTGGTTGTATCTACAGAGTGGAACTGAGAAGAAATGACAGGCAATTTAATTTTCACATTTTACCCTCTTGTGCTGTTTGACTCTTTGTAACAAGCATGTGTAATTTTTGTAATAAAAGTCCAATACAATCATTTTACATGCAATTACATAAAAACACAGAGTTTAGAAAGAAAAGGGTCTAGACTTGTTTAAAAAAAAAAATGTGGATCTTGTTTGAAGTAAGCTAAGAGTTAGACAGAGTTCTTAACAGGTTACCCAATTTATCGGACAGGACACTGGTACAAAAGCCACACACCGGGACTGTGCTGGACAAGGCCAGCTATGTAGCCACGCTAAGAGGTGACCATAAGTATTTCATATACATTGAGATCTCACCAACCCAAGTTTTAAAGGCCAAATGGAATTAGGTGGAGAAAATAGTTTCTGATGGGCAAAGTGCCATCGACAGAAAAAGTAGTCATCAGCTAGCCACAATCTTGTTACCTTCTTTCTCACTCTGATTAAATAGAAAGTCTGTGAAGAGAGTCAGAAAGAGACTGGTGGGGAGAGATGAATGAATAAGAGAGACCAGGTCAGCAGTGACTCTCAGCTGGGGTTGGCAGAAGCTGTACTTTACTTTCAAGTGCTAAAGAGCTGGAAACAAGCCTGGATCTTAAAAAGCAAAAACAAACAAACAAAAAACTCTAAAGCTGCACAAGCAGAACAATTTTACGTTTCCCCCTTAAATCAGAATGACAAAATCAAGATCATTGTGAGCGGCTGATGATATTACAGAGGCTGGGGTTTGGTAAGGAACGCCTTTACACTTCTTTAGACCGTGCTCCAGGTTTTGCATCCCTTTTACCCTTGGTAGTTGCCTTCAGATTCACTTAAATGCTTTCCTAATAAAGATTTACATATCAGGTATGTGGAAATGTGTGTTATTTTTACTTTATTTTCAGTGAATCACGTAGAAACCATTGTAGAGGGGGAAAGCCAGGAAGTTTCTCCTGAAGCCTAGAACGTCCACATTTTGCTTTTGCAGCCTCAGTTTCCCCATCTAAAAAAGTGTAGATAACCAATTCCAGCCCTTCCTACTTCTTGGATTATTGAGGTTGTATTTGGAAATGTGGACCGTAAACTGTAAATGAAACTTTACACAAATTTTAGTCCTTCTTCCACCTGCTGGCAGATGCCTGAATTGCAGGGAAATCAAAGTGCTTGCAACAGGCCACCTGAGCTCCCCTCACGAGGAGGAGCAGACAGGCCCCTCGCCCAGGTCACTGGTAGCTCTCGGAGGACAGGGACCCTGTCTGCCTCTCAACGGCCCTCCCTCCCCTCCCAGAGGCCACGTACATCGCACCAGCAGGTTGACGGTCTTCTTGGCAGGGTTGCCCACGTTGTTGGTGGCCGTGCAGTTGTAGTAGCCAGAGTCCCGCGCCTGCACTGAAGGGATGCTGAGGGTGCCGCCCTGGGCCAGAGCACCCAGGGGCAGCGGGCCCGGCCCATGGGACCACTGCAGCTGGGGTAAGGGGTCGCCGCCCGTCAGCAGACACTGCACCGTCACATTCTCCCCAGGGTTCACCACCAGAGTCTCGTTCACAGACAGCTTCAGGGCTGGTGGTGCTAAAAGGACAAGGAGGTGGGCATTAGGGGACAGTGAGGCAGGGCTGGGTGTGGGGGAGATGTGGGGGTTAGGGAAACCTTGGGGCGGGGAAGCCCTGGGGGAGGGGAGAGGGCAGAAGACAGGGAGCAGGAGGTGGGGAGGCAGGCTGGACGCCAGTCGATGCGCCTAGAGTCCTGTGCGGGTGGGGCACCGTGTCCGGTTGGGAATTAGCCCAGGCGGGCGAGGAGTTTGGGCAGGGAGGTGCCTGTACCCGTGGTGTTGGTGAGCCGGAAGGTGATGGCCTTGTCTGGGATGCCGCACACGTTACGTACAGACACCTGGCAAGTGTAGCTGGCATAGTCCTGGGGCCGCAGGTTCTTCAGCTTCAGGACCTTGGTCTCCCCCTGGGCGGCAGTGGACCACTGGGGTGAGGCGCCTGCTCCAGTCTCCAGGGTCCCACACACTCATTCACCGAGCGCCAGCGGCCACAGCGAGCTCCTGTTCTAACTCCTATCGTCTCAGCTTCCATCCACGCCACTCGCCCCCGGGCCCTGAGCCTGGGGCGGATGCCAGACTCGCCACACCCTTGGCGGCACCTTGTCAGGGGCTTCTCTGGCTCTGAGGCGACCCTGGTGCACGCTGACCAGGCCTCAGTTTCCTCACTCTGGGAATGAAGGGGTAAGGAGGGAATCCCGCCCTGCCTTACTGACCCACCTATACGAGGCTGGCCCACGGGCCACAGGTGAGGCTCTGGCAGCCACCTCTGAAAGCCCTCCCGGGCAGGATGGCCCCATCGCCATCTCCTGGGACTGTGGGGGGCCGGTGGAAGAGAGCTGTCTCCCTGCCCCACTTCTGCTGTGCCTGCCCCTGGGTTCCCAATCCTCTACCAGCCAGCAGGGGACAGGGAGGACGTGTCTGCCCCAGGGCCTGCCTTGCCCTAACTAGCAATGTTCCTGGGGGATGAGTTGCTTTGGGGACCTGCCTGTCCTCACCACTGCTCCCTGACCTTTCTGCCCCGATTTCCCCTGCCCCTGGCTACCTGAACTCCAACTGGAATGTGAGCTCCCAGCCTCAGAGCAGGACTGTTGAAGTCAGGGCAGCCCCAGGAACTCAGCCCCCACCCCCTCCCTTGTGGGGTGCAGGCGGAACAGTGGGGGGGGGAGCAGCTGCCCGTCCTGACCTGGGTGTAGAGGGGCTCATAGATGTCCACCCCGTTGTCCTGGCTGTGGGACAGCGTGTCAGAGCCGCGCTTCCAGATGAAGCGGGCGGGCGGGTTGGAGTTGACAGTGCAGCGCAGGAACACCGTCTTCTCCTGGTAGAAGTTGCCGCGCACGTCGCTCACCGTCTGGTGCACCGTCAGCACAGGCTCATCCAGGTCTGCAAGGGCACGGCCCATGGAGTCAGCACTGGGAGACGCCAGATGGGGTAGGGGGGCTGAGGCTCCTGGCAGCCCTCGGGGCAAGCTGAGCCACCCCAGGGGCCACTGCAGAGAGCAAGATGCTCTCCCCTCCCTGCAAGCCTGACCAGCCTGTTAGAGGCAGGGGACCAGACTCAACAGCTTCCCAGTCTCCCTCCCAGCTGTGCCTCCCAGGGACCTGCAGGAGGGTGGAGGAAGCGGCTGCAGACTAGAAATCAGGAAAACCCTGGTTCAAATCCTAGTGTAGCTGTTAATTTGTAGCGTGACCTCCCTAAGTCCCTTCTCTCTCTGGGCCCCCTGTTTCCTCATTAGTAAACTAGAGTAGATTGGTGGTTCTTGCCCCTGTTTACACAATATGATCACAGGGAGATTTTCTTTTTAATACTGATGCTTGGTAGAGCTCATTGATGGTGTCAAAAGTCAGAATAGTGATTGCTTCTGGGTGAATTATTGACTAGGAGAGGGCATGAGGGAACTTTCTAGGGTCCTGGGAAAACTCTGTACCTTGAACTAGATGGTGTTTACACACACACACATTTGTAAAAAGTCACACTCGCCCAGGCACAGTGACTCACGCCTGTAATCCTAGCACTCTGGGAGGCTGATGTGGGAGGATCACTTGAGCCCAAGAGTTGGAGACCAGCCTGAGCAACAGCAAGAATCCATCTCTACTAAAAATAGAAAAATTAGCCAGGTATCATGGCGTGCGCCTGTAGTCCCAGCTACTTGGGAGGCTGAGGCAGGAGAATCACTTGAGTCCAGGAGTTTGAGGTCACAGTGACTAGGCTGATGCCACAGCACTCTACCCAGGGCAACAGAGCAAGACTCTGTCTTAAACAAACAAACAACAACAACACAAAGAAGTCACACTCTATCAGTTACTACTCAATTTTAAGAAAATGTTTAAGAAAAATCCTAACCTATTGGGTACAACGAACACTGTCCTTGGTGGGCATGCTGAAAGCCCTGACTTCAGCATTATACAGTATACCCACATAACGAAAATTGTTTTTAATACTTTAAAATAAAAAAAGAAAGCAAAAGAAAACTCCTGGTATCAGGTCCCACCCCCAGTCCATTATATCAGACTCTCTGGAAGTGGGGCCCAGGCATTAGCATTTTTAAAAGGATCCCCCAAAGCTGGGCACAGTGGCTGGTGCCTGTAGTCCTTCCTACTTGGAAGGCCGAGGCAGGTGGATCTCTTAAGCCCAGGAGTTTGAGGCTGCAGTGAGCTATGATGGTGCCACTGCACTCCAGCCTGGCCAACAGAGAGAGACCTGTCTCTAAAAAAAATTAAAAATTAAAAAAAAGATAAAGATTCCCTAGAGATCCTAGTGTACAGCCAGAATTGTGCACAACAGGCACCAACAGTCCACATTCCTACATCTCACAGCTGATGTCCCAGGATCCCATTATTCTGCCCTCCTTCCACAGTCCCCTGGACAGATGTCATAAACAAGGCCATGAGTGGAGGTGAGCACTGGTGAGGCCCAGGCTATTCCCACCAGCCCCTTCCAGCCCCAATAACCTGAGAAATGACACTCAGCCCCAGGGGTCGGCAGGACCCTGGGAGGCTGACGAGGAACAGAAGAGAAGTCTGGAGTTCCACTGTTGCTACTCTACCAGGTCCCACTTGGGGGATGGAAGGATACATAGTTAACAGGTAGGTTCATTGTAGGGCTTAAGATGGTCCCAGACACGCCGTTGGGCCTGGACCTACAGCTCCTGGGTACCTGGGTCAGCGTGGATGGGAGGCAAGCAGGGGGACAGGCTCCTGGAGTTAGGGGGCTACCCATGGTGGGCAGGCAGCAACTGAGGGCTTCCCCTTCAAGCAGCGACAAGGGGTGGGTGGTGTGCCTGGTCCTACAGGTGGCGGGGGAGGGAAGTCAGAGCTGCCCTTCCCGTAAGAGCAGAGACGTGAGGTCCTGTGGGAGGGCAGTGGGCCACGGGGAAGACCTGTGTCCTCAGCACAGACCTGGCCTCCGTGCCTGTGAGCAAGTCACGTGCAGCCTCGGTTCTCTTATCTGTGGAAGGGATATAATCCAACCCATCCTGCCTTCCTTGCCCACCTCACAGGGACGCGGCAAGGTTCTTACCGGATCGCACATGGGAATGTGCAGATGCCAGAGGGCATGCCCACCGCCCTATACCGTCTACACTCCTCCGCCGCGGTGCCGCTTCTCCAGCCCTCCCCTCCCGCCCCAGCTCCCCGCCGGCCCCTGGCCGGGGCAGGGCTGCCAGGGTCCCGGGAGGGACAGGGCTTTGACTCACACTGCACGTCCACGCGGATGGACTTGATGGCCGGCACGCCCACGCCGTTCTCGGCCTTGCAGTAGTAGCGGCCGCCCTGCGTGCGCGCGATGCGCTCGATGCGCAGCGTCTCGTTGAACACCGACGTCTCCTGGAACTTGTCCGACGCGCTGCCCGCAGTCTTGGTCCACCGCACCTGGGCCGCCGGGAGGTCCGAGAGCCTCAGGGCCCAGCGCCCTGCAACGGCGCCCCTCCCCGCCCATACTTCTCACAGGCGCGCGTGGGACACACTCGGGTCTCGGAAACTACCCACGCGCACTCGTGGGGTTGCACACTCGGGGTGGGACACCAGAGTCCCGGGCGGGGGGATCCAGGGTCAGAGAGAAGACGCTCTAACTCAGGCGTACTGTGCTGTGGATAAGAGCATGGGTTTGTGGGCAAGTTTCCTAACCTCTCCTGCCTTGCTTTCCTCACCTGTAAAATGGCAAATACTACCCCCTTCCAGGCATGACTGGGAGGATTAAATGAGTATATACTTAGTGCCTGGAAGACTAAGATTCTGATAAAATTTTTCTATTATTCCACTCACTAGCTTAGTGGCCTTGGATAGGTTACTGGCCTCTCAGCTTCCAGTTTCCATCTGTAAGGGTGTGTGTGTGGTGGCCAGTCCCCGACATGGCCTTCTGGTCTTCCCACCCTTTGGTAGTCCCCTCCCACTCTGTACTAGGGTGTCTGCGTGACCAACAGAATGCAGCAGGAGCGACAGTGTGTCACTTCCAAGATTAGGTTGCGTGCAGAAGACTGGTTTCCATGCTGGTCACTCTGGGATCTCTGGGGAGAGCCAGATACCATGTCCTGAGCAGCCCTAGAGAGAGGCCCCCTCGGGGAGGAACTGAAGCCTCAGGCCAACAGCCATGTGAGTGAGCTTGAAGTGGATCCTCCTGCCTCAGTCACCCTCAGGTGTCCACACCCCTGGCTGGACCTGGATTGCAGCCTTGTGTGGAACCTGGAGGCACAGCCAGCCGGCTAAGCTGCTCCCAGGGCCCTGTCCCTTAGGAACTGTGAGACAGTATGTATTTGTTGTGTTAAGCCCCCAGGTTTTGGAATATATATTATGCAGCAATTCATAAGCAATATAGGGTAACACCCACTTTGCAAGGTTATTGTGAGGTTTAGTATGTAGAGAAAGTATGTAAAAGAAAGTATGTAAAGCACCTAGGTGTGGTGCCTGGTATATATTAGTCTCTCAACAAATTTGTTATTCATATTGCCTCAGATTACAGAAACATAGCAAGGATCCCATGGAAAACTTGAGCCTACTACTACTCAAGGTGCTAGAGGTTTAAGAGAAACAGCTCAGTTCCAGATAATTAAGTATAAGGCAGGGGGCGGGGGTGGAAAGCTTCAGTCTTGCCGTGGGGAGAATTGCTTAGTAAGGACCCTGATCCGGGTCAGGCAAGTGGCCACGAAAACAACACGGCTGCGGACAAGCAGGTAGAAGGACAGTCTTCCTCACGCAGGGAGTGGCCACTGAGGGCCACAGTGGTGCTGCTCTCTCACCCCCCCCAACCCTATCCCCAGCGACCCAGAGGTTACAAAACTTGGAGAAGGTTAGAGGCTGCGTCAGGTAATCCATCCTTAGTTCAGACGGTGGTCTGGAGAGAGGACGGGGCCATGAAAATAATTATTGTTTTTGTATTTGATATTGTGTGGCTTTACCATGATTTATCTAAATGGAGTTTGATTACACACTCAGTCAAGACTTGGTTTGCTTCATCCATCTGAGAGTTTCTATTTTCCTTCAGTTCTACAAAATTCTCAGTCTTTATCTCTTTAAATACTGCCTTGTCTCTGTGTTCTCCATTCTGTCCTTCTGGATCGCCTTAATTTATGTTGTAGCTTCTCCTCCTATCCTCCCTCTCAATTGCTTTTTCCCATTTTCCATCTCTTTGTCCTCTCCGGATTGCATTACGGCTGATTTCCTCGGATCTACCATCCAGTTCAATCATTTTTCTCTTTAGCTATTTCTAGGGTATTAAGGCCAAATTTTTTGAAGACTGTATTATTTTTATTCCTAGGATTTCTATTTGCTTTTTCCCCATATCTGATTGGTCAGGTTTCATAATCTCCTGTCTTATAGATTCCATTCCTTCCATTATCTCTTCCAAAATTCTAAACAATTTTATTTTTTTTTTATTTTTTTTTTTTTGAGACAGAGTCTCGCTTTGTTGTCCAGGCTAGAGTGAGTGCCGTGGCGTCAGCCTAGCTCACAGCAACCTCAAACTCCTGGGCTCGAGCGATCCTTCTGCCTCAGCCTCCCGAGTAGCTGGGACTACAGGCATGAGCCACCATGCCCGGCTAATTTTTTTTATATATATCAGTTGGCCAATTAATTTCTTTCTATTTATAGTAGAGACGGGGTCTCGCTCTTGCTCAGGCTGGTTTTGAACTCCTGACCTTGAGCAATCTGCCCGCCTCGGCCTCCCAAGAGCTACAAACAATTTTATTTTGAAGACCCTTTCCAATTTCTCTATTTTCTCTTGCGTTCCTCAGATATGAATTATTCAACTTGTTGGGTCTACAGACTGATCCTCCTCGCACTGTATTTTTAAATGTTTTGAAATTTTACTCCACAGGCTGTATACAGTGGGATTATCTTCCACAGAAGTCCTGCTTGGGTCTTTACAGGCTGTATCTGGTACAGTTTTATGTTTGCCTATGCCCAAGGTAATGGGTTCATGGGCTCCAACCAGTTTTTATGTGAGTTTCTCAGGTTAGGGTTTCCTCACCATTTGGGGAGTGCAAGGTACAGATAGCCCCAGGGCTATGCCTCCCATAGGTGACTCTGTTTGTACCCATACCCTGAAGCAGTGAGTCTGTTCCCCACTGTGACTCTGGGCTGTGGGACAGACATCATCCGGTCCCCATTCGTGGATGGCGCCACTGTTGTTGAGCTTCCAGCTTCCGGTGGAGTCCAGTTCCGGCTCCCAGCCACGGATGGACCTGTGGCCTCAACTCATACTCCCCACGTGTGTGTTAATGTGACTATCCCTACAGTGTATAAGCAGTCCAGTCTCTGTGGGAGGGTTCTTCAACTTCTGCTCGCTGCCATCACCACAGATTCTATCTGCATTTCTAGCCCACAAATACCCCCCCTCTAGTTTTCACTTCCAAACAAACCTTTGGGAAGGAGTAAACAGTGATGATAATTTTTTAGGTTGAAAGAGACCTTAGGGGTTTCCTTGTCCATCTGCTTGTCTCATGGCCAAACATACTACAGCCATCCCTGTCCCAAAAATTTTCCGGGGGGAAGAAAGGATTTTGCATTTCACTGTCCTTCCTAGGATCCAGTTGCCACCTTCTCTGCTGCTATTAAAGGTCACAGCAGCTCACCAGCAGATTCCACCCATCCCTCCAGCCCTCCCCCCCGCCTGCCCCTCAGCTCTCAGGGATTCCTGGCTAACACTTCCTGCCTGAACCACACACTGGGTCTGTGACAGAATTCACCTGGCATTTCCAGGTTCTTGTTTTCCGTTCCTTTCTAATTGCTTTGGGTCTTTGAACCTCAAAGCCTCCTAAAGCAGAGATTGTTCTCTGTGTTGCTTGGAACTCCTGCAGCCCCCAACGCAAAGCTGGGTGTGCTGGAAGTGCACCAGCTTCAGAGAACACTGGTTCTGCATTCAAATTCTGCTTCCACCCTCACAAAAGCTTTGTGGCTTTGGGAGTTTACCCAACCTCCCTGAGCCTCAGTATCCTCAGCTGCAAAATGGGGGCACTAATGCCTTCCTCACAGCACAGCCGCGAGGCTCTGAAGAGGACACACTGGAGACAGCATGGAGGCTGGCACGAGGTCTGCCCTCAGACACTGGCTGGAGGAGCATCTAAGGATGCTCAGCAGATCCGTGGCACGGAGTGAAACGGAACAACTGGCATTCGTCCGTTCCCCCCGGCGTCAGTGTTTCCACGTGAGTGAGCCCACAGCCTCCAGCCCTTCCCCACAGAGTTAATTTTCCAGCTATTTCCCCCGCCCCGGACTCCTGTCTCCTCCCGTCTCCGGCTGCCTCTTCTCAAGCACTGATCCGAGCACGGGGGTGAGGGCAGGAGGGGCCCGGGCAAGGCCGGCTGGGGGCTTACCTGGGGTCGAGGGTGCCCGGTGACAAGGCACTGCAGCATGAGGGTGTCCCCCTCCCGAATGGTGTAGACGCGCTCACTGATGTTGTCCTCTTTAACCACACACGCCTGGCCCGCGTGCGCGATCTGCGCCTGGGCTGGAGCTGGTGGGGGGGACACAGGTTAGAGAAGAGGCCCCGGGCCAGGGGTCCGGGACCCTCCCGACTGTGACAGGGAGGGCTCAGCGCAGACCTCCGCGGGCCACTCCTTAGAGGCCTGGCCACTGAGCCCAGGGAAGGCGCCTCCCAGGGCCCCGAGGCCAGAGCCAGGAGGGCTGGACTCCAGGAAGGGACAATTCCCCACGCCCCTGGAAGGAGACCTGCGCTTTTCACTGCACTGATGTATGGGCGGGGCTTTGCAACCGATCGGTCCCCACTCGGTGCCCGCTGTCCCCTCCCGGTCCCCACTCAGCGCCCGCTGTCCCCTCCCGGTCCCCACTCAGTGCCCGCTGTCTCCTCTCATCAGCCCCAGGAGCGGACGCAGCGGTCCCCGCCCAGGCGTGTCCCTGCGGCTGCCCACACCACAGTGCTTGCCTCCCTGGGGACTGCCAGAGTGCAGAGTGACCCCAGCCTAAGGACACACAGACCCCGGCCTAAGGACACACAGACCCCGGCCTAAGGACACACAGACCCCAGCCTAAGGACACACAGACCCCGCCTAAGGACACACAGAGCCGGCCCCACCGCTGCTCCTCTCTCTCCCGGGAGGCCTGTCGGTTCCCTCACTGCTGCCGAGCCTGTGCCCGGCTTCTCCGGCAGACAGAAGTTTCAGAGAAGCCGGGCTGGGAGCTCAGGGAAGACAGTGGCTGCCCCCTGACCTCTCTCACAGTGCCCAGGGCTGGGCCGTGGCCAGGGCTGGGGGACCAAAGCGAGGATCTGGCAGGGCAGGCCCAGCAGGAAAGTGAGGGAACTTGCAAGGTCACAGCCCCTCCCTCAGGGCCCTAAGGGCACACCGGCCCCAGCCCACCAACGCTGGGGCTCTGGGAGGAGGAAAGGCCCCCAGCTCCACGCCGCCCACTTCCAGCTGACAGCGGAGGAGGGAGAGGTGGCCCAGAGCACGGGGCACACAAGGGATGCGCCGAGGTAAGATGGCGCCCGCACATGAAGTCTGACTCCTCCAGGAACCATCCCGCAACAGACAGGCCCCTCGCTCTTGGCGTGTCTAGAGTGCGCGTCACTCCCCTAGGGCCGAAGCACAGCGTCACACCTGTTGGCTGCCAAATTCAGGATTCCTGTCTTTCTGCCAACCAGAGCTTCATCTTGGTACCCCCAGCACAAGCCCCTGAACACAAGGCAGGTGCTCAGTGAATGTCAAACGAATGAATTTTGCAAAGATATCCCGTGGTAAAGTCGCTAAGCGCCATCCGAGAGATACAGAAGGTCCCAGGAGATCAGAGGAGAGAGACACCACCATCTTCTGGAGGAAGAACCACAGAAGGCTCCATGGAAGAGGCAGCTTTTGAACCAGGCCTCAAAGGACAAGGAGGCTCTATGAGAGTTGACCGGGGACAGTCCCAAATTCTATATTACATGGGGGCAAACTGCTAGTGATCTTTGGACCTTAATTTTCTCATCTCTAAAATAAAGAGATGAAAAGAACCCTAGGAATTCACAGTGGTGGATGTGATTATAACACAGAATAAATGAAAAAATGCTTTGTGGGGTTGTAATGTGTTCTACAGATGCTGCAAACAGGGTCTTCCACCGACACTGACGGAACAGACATGAGCTAATCACAGAGACAGGGTCCACAGAGGCCACCCAGAAGTGGGTCCAGAAACTTGCAGGGCAGCGATTGGGAGTGACACAGGCTATGCTGGGTCTCATGAGGGTCTCTGCAAACAGCGGCAGGTTTTGCAAACAGTGGCATCTGCCACCAACCCAGAGTCTGAGTATCCAGGTGACCATCCTGCCTGCCTGGCTGCCACAGAGGAATGAACCCGGGCTGGTTGTCAGGAGACAAGCTGCATGACACTGGGCAAGTCAATTCACCTCTCTGTGCCTCAGTTTCCCCCACGTGTAGGAGGTGAGTAGATTAGATGACCTCTGAGGTCTTTTTCAACTCACACTTTCTATGAATTTTGTAATCAGCACATAGTCACTGTACAAGATGCACCCTAGAATCTGGGAACTGGGCCTGAAACTGTCACCCCTAAACAAAAATGCATGTGGGAGAGATAGCCATCTGTGGCCAAGGTCCCCAGGAAATCTCATCAAGAAACAACCTACCAAGAGATGATGAGCATGCCAGCTACTGATAACACCAAGTGGCCCGGGGTGCCTCTTAACAAGGGAGACATCAATTTAACAGGCTCTAGTGGAAGATAAGCTGTAATCTTGGACACTCTGGCTTGCCAGTAGCAAAGCAGTATTGTAATGACAGAGCTTTGGTGACTGATAAGGAGTATTGAAAAAGAGCTGTACAGCTGGCCTTCCTCAGCACAGCCAGCACAGGCCAGGGGAGACGGGGCTTAGCTGGCAGGCACAGCGCCTCTGGTCACCTGAAAGGTGTGTTTCCCCACTGGAGACGGGGCTGTGAGTAGGTATCATGGGTGACATTGTTAAGATCATCCAACTCCCTTTGATGGCATTAACTGTTAAGGCTATCTGACTCTAAAATAGTAGAGCCACTTTGCAAGAAACTTGGGCAGTGCCTGCTAGAGGCAAACCAGTGTGTGCCCACAATGCAGCAATTCCACTGCTGGGCATGTACCCCGTAGAAATGGGTACGTATGACAACCAAACTATAAGTATAAGAATAGTCATAGCAGCTTTATTCATAGTTGCTAAAAACAACAAAAAAACCCCAAGGGTAGTATAAGTAAATAAGTTCTGGCGTCTTCATACAACGGAACATTCCCCGTAAGTGAAAAGAGTAAACTGCATACAAACAGGACCCTGTTGAACTCACAGGCACAATTTGAGTGAAAGAATCCAGACATGAAACAATATATAGTGTATGAGTTCATTTATTCAAAGTTCAAAACCAGAACAACTAATCTTAGGGTAACAGAGGCCTAACAGTGATTGCCCTTGGGTGGGGTGAGGGATTGATTATTTGCTGGGAAAGGCACAAGAAAACTGTCTCGGGGGAAGGTAGGGGCCCGTATGTTGGGATAGAAATATTGCACGTCTTGATCTGCGTGGTGGTTACACAGTGGGTGGATATGCATGTATTTACTTAAGATTTTGCCCTAACTTATGAATTTAAAAAAAAAAAGAATATCCACCTCCCTTTGAAGACATTAACCACTGAGATTATCCAGGATCATCCACTAACGACCACGATTTCCCACCTCCTTCTATTCTGACTCGTACTTGATGAGCCACTTCCCATCGCTGATTTGGTTGCAGGTGTAGGTTTCCTTCCAGAACAAGTGCTCGCTGAGAGCCAACCGCCTGGTCTACCTTGGCCTTGGCATTTCCATTTGCTCGTCACGCCCCCACTGAGTTCCATCACATGAGTCAGCCTCCCCGCGGCCCTGCTCGCCCCTGGACTGGCTGGAGCCCCAAAGGGGCCGCACCCCGCTGAACCTCAGCCTCCAGCACCCCGGGAAGGCACTGCCAGCAGCAGCATCTCCCGATTAGAAAGGCAGCCAGGCCGGGGCCTGTGTCAAGATGCTCCGTGACATCGTCCCTTCATTCGGTCTGTCAAACAACAAACGCTTCCGGGCCGGGCGCTGCGCTGGCCGCTGGGGACGCTGTCGTGAGAAGCAAACACGATCGGCTCTCAAAGAGCATTGCTGGGGAGACGGATGGCAAAAAAAAGGAAACAGAAATGACAGGCTGGTTTCAGAGCATGATAAGTGATGACTCTGAAACAGGGGGGTGTGATGAGGAACAATGGGGACAGGAGACGTCTGCTTTAGAGAGACGGAATGAGAAGGGCTGTGGAGTTGGATCATCTGGGACTAATTCCTGGCTCTGCTACCCACTAGCTGGGTGACCCTGGGCAAGTTACTTAACCTCTCTGAGCCTCAGCCTCTTCAGTTGTAAAATAAGGACAATGATGCCTTCTCCCAGAGCTGGCGTGAGGATTTAATGCAATATACCTAAAACATCTGGCCAAACCGTATGCGTGCTCTCTCCATAAATGACAGCTCCCAGGATGGTTACACAGGAACAAGAGATGGGGACAGGAGACCATCTGCTGAGGCCCCCCTACATCCCAGGGGTGGAGAGGCTCAAAGCAGACATGGAACTAGGAGGGATGCTCCGTGAATGTGCTCAAAATTCCTGCTGAGGCTGTGCCGGCTCGAGGGGAGCTGGAAAACCGGGGGGAGGGAGAGAGCCCTTTGCCAAGGGGTTGGCAAGGAAAGGAGTTTCTTCCTACGATGCCAGCACACTTAGCTGTGTGGCTTTCGGCAAGTTCCTCAAGCCTTAGTTTTCTCATTTGTGAAGCGGGGCTGTCCGAGGACCAGATGAGGACACTCAGCTAAAGCAGCGGCGGTGCCCGGCGGGCAGTGAGCGGCGCAGCGCCGGCGGCCCGTGCTTCCGCGAAGGAGCCCGCGCTCCCCCGGGCACCGCCCGCCCGGGCCTGCGAGCCCTTTGCGTGGAAGGGCCCTGCCTTCTCTGTCACACACGGTGGGGTGGGGGCGGCACGCTGCTGGGGTCCACTGTAGACGTCCAAGCTCCTCGCCTCGGCTCTTGAGGCGGAAAGGGCAAGTCACATTTACTACCCTTGGCAGAGAAGGAAACTGAGGCCGGGAGAAGGAAATGCCCACGGTAGCAGAGCCGAGACTCAAACCCAGGCCTTCCACCTGCTAGGCGGGGACTCTGTTCGCTGTCTCGCCCCCCCCGTGTCCCCCCCAGCCCCCTCTGCAGACGCCCAGGTCGGGTGGCTCCGCCAGATCCGACTCTCCAGGGCTGGGGCCTCGGCGCGTGTATCCGAGCGAGCCCCCCACCCCCACCCCCCGGGAACGTCGGAGCACAGCCGGGCTTGGTGACCGCTGCCTGGCGTCGCATGGATGGGCAGAAGTTGGACAGGCTTTCGGAACCGAGTGTGTTTCCCTGCCTCTGGCGGATGAGTCGTTTCCTATTTCACTCTCCCGGGCTCTCGCGGCAAAACCCCAGGGAAAAGGAAAAGAGCGTCCCAACCTGTGTGC